ATAATACACAGAATAAAATAATTGTCCATGAGTCCATTCTAATGTAATAAATCATTGAATAGAAAGATGGAGAAGTGAGAGCTCACCTGCGCAGTGGAATTCTAGTCAATCAGTGCAAAAGAAAGGGAGGTTTGATCTCACCATTTGGCAAACACCGCGACAGCAAGGGCGGCAGCCAGGCTCCACTAAATAGAAAGATGGAGAAGTGAGAGCTCACCTGCGCAGTGGAATTCTAGTCAATCAGTGCAAAAGAAATGGAGGTTTGATCTCACCATTTGGCAAACACCGCGACAGCAAGGGCGGCAGCCAGGCTCCACTGGTGACTCCAGGGCCCATGAGACAGACGCTGAGCTTGGGTAGTGGGCGTCTTTCATGGCACTTGTTTAATTCATCTGGTTGCCAAATTCATTGGCATCAAGTTGTTCACAACATTGCCTTGTCCTTCTGATGTCTGTGTGGTGTGTGTGTGGTCTCTCCATTCTTCGTGTTGCTGAGTGTTCTCTATTTGTCTTGATCAGAGAATCACCTTTCAGTGTCATTGATTTTTATATTTCATTGATTTCTGCTCTTCATTACTGTCTTTTTCCTGCTTATTTTGGGTTTAATTTGTTCTTTTTCTAGTTTCTTAAGGTGAAACCTAAGGTCATTGAATTGAGGCCTTTTCTAAAATAGGCATGCAAGTGCTATAAATTTCCTTCTAAGCATTGCAAATTTTGACATGTTGTGTTTTCGTTTACCTCAAAACACTTTCTGATTTCTATTTTAAAGTTTTTTGACCCATGAAGTGTGTTATTTAGTTTAAAAATATTTGGGGTTTTCCATTGTTTTCTAATTTAATTTCAGTTTAGTCAGATAATATACTTTGTATGACCTGAGTTTAAAGTTTTTTGACCCATGAAGTGTGTTATTTAGTTTAAAAATATTTGGGGTTTTCCAAATATCTTTCCATTGTTTTCTAATTTAATTTCAGTTTAGTCAGATAATATACTTTGTATGACCTGAGTCCTTTTACATTTATTGAGACTTGTTTTACGGCCAAAAGATGTTCTATCTTGGTAAATGTTCTGTGTGTGTTAAAAAGGAATGTGAAGAATGTGTATTCTGCTGTTGTTTATAGAGTGTTCTATAAATGTCCTATCAGTCATGTTGGGTGGTAGTGCTGTTGAAGTTGCTCTGTTCTTACTGATTTTCTGTCTGCTTGTTCTAACAATTATTGAGAGCAGGGTGTTGAAATTTCCAACTGTAATGGCAGATTTTTCTATTTCTCTTTACACTTGTGTTAATTTTTGCTTCAAGTATGAAGCTCTTATCAGGTGCATAAATGTTTAGGATTCTTATGTCATCCTGATGAACTGACCCCTTTATCATTATGGAATGGCCGTCTATATTCCTCATGATATTCTTTCTTTAATTACTTTGATCTTAATATAATCATTATAGCTTTCTTTTGATTAGCATTTCCATGATATATGTTTTTCCATCTTTACTTATAATCTATTTATGTTTTTATCCTTAAAATGGGTTCCTTGTAGGCAGCAACGTAGTTAAGTCTCTAGTGCTTAGATAGGGTTGATTTTACCCTATAACATGCTGGATGTCCTCTCTCCAGACCATTTTTAGTCCTGCCTCACATGATTCCCCTTTGTACTCTAGCAGTGTGGGGTTTTGCTTTGTTATCCAACGTGACAACCTCTGCTATTCAGGGATGTTTAGACAATTGGATAGATCATTGATGTAGTTAAGTTGTCCCTGATTCCGTAACTTAGAAGCTTCAATTCTTTTATCCTCTTCCTTCAAACTGTTGTCACCTTTTTTTAAAGTAAAATTCTTTATTTACTGGACTTTTTACTTAATAGGAATATAACATGTCTTTTCGTAATCTATGATAGTGTTTTTAGTAGAGTTATTGATTTTTTTAGTGCCCTGGCTATGAACTTGCATAATTTTGAATAGTCTACTTCAACTGTTTTTTTTCATAAGCCCTGGTATTTTTAGTATACAGTTTTGCAGAACGTGAGTTTCTTCCAGAACATATATATATATTGTGTTATAGCAGAAACTACTGTGTTCTGTTTAGTCAGCACTTGGGATGAGAGAATAGTCCATCTGAAGCTGGCAGCACTACAGTAGATGAATTTGCTGGACGCTAGGCTAGGAGCCGTGCATGGCAGCTCCCCAGAGTTTTAGCTCCAAGAAGCATCTTTAACCAATGTTAAAGTGGACACAGAATGTTGTGGGAGTGAACACACATAGCCTTTTGGCGCACCTCAGGTATAAATGAGAGCTGTTCTTATTTGAGGATAAATAAACAGAAATAATCCCCACCTTGGGACTGTCAAAAAGGTATTGCAGGATGTGGGGAAGCGGGAAATATCCTGAAATGCAGAAGAATATACCTCTAAACATGACTTTAATTCAGAAAAACATTTTTTGAAAAGACTTTGGTTAGGAGAAGACATAGCTCTACAGTCAGGAGCAGAAGGCCACGAAGAGGGACCAGGCTGAGTAGAAAAGATAATGGAGTGAGTTGTGAAGGGGAGAGGTTGAGAATTAAGAGTTGAGGCTTAATTAAAATCTGTATTAGAAGCCGTAAAGAATAAAACTGACATTGTGGAAAATTGCAGCAGTGATGTGGAGAACATACTTGAGAGGCTGCCTGGGAGTGCAGAATAAACAGCAGATGTGTCGGCAGTGAGAGAGGCCAGATCTGATGGAGAGGTTCCAGTCAAAGAGCACAGGAATCTCTGAAGCAGCCAGAGCAAGTTCAACAAAAGCAATCCTCTGAGATGTGACTGAAGAGCATTTTCCTGAACAGAAAGAAGACCCATATGCATTGAAAGGGTCACATTTTGGGCCGGCCCAGTGGCGCACTTGGTAGAGTGCAGCGCTTGGGAGTGTGGCGGCGCTCCCGCCGAGGGTTCGGATCCCATATAGAGACCGGTCCGCTCACTGATTGAGCACGGTGCGGGCGCGACACTGAGGGTTGCAATCCTGTTACCGGTCACGAAAAATGACAAAAAGGAAAAAAAAAAAGGGGTCACATTTTGAGCAAAATAAATGAAGAGACTTTACCTATTATCTTCTGACAATGTTTTTTTTAATTTCAAGAAAAAAAAAATACTAGCAGAATGCAGATGGAAACAAATGACAACAGCATCAAAGTCCCCAAAGTTTACCTGGAAAGGAACTACAGTTAAGCTGGATTGAGAATCCCATGCAGTGCTGAGGTGGACAACAGCTAAAAATTTTGAGGGGCAAGTCTTTGTGATCCAAGACTTTTATACCCAGCCAAGATGTGATTTTTGTGTAAAGGATACAGGGTCATCCGAGATTTGCAAGGGTTTGCAAAATAAACCATCTGCATTCTCTTCAGGAAAATGATATTTCTTTCTGACCAAGAGATGAACTAAAATTCTGAACCTGAAGATAAATAAATCACTGTGTTTCTAAACAGAACAGTAGTCATAAGGATATTAACCACAGAGTTGTAGATAATAAGAAATAACCAGACACAGAACAGTAGTCATAAGGATATTAACCACAGAGTTGTAGATAATAATGTAAAATTGGAAACCACCTAAATAGCCAAGCTTAGGGGGGTGATCCTTTACATGTTGAATTGGTCAGGGTTCATAGGAGTTCTTCCATTATAAGAAGTTGGGGGGGAAATTCTTGACCAATTTAATCAAGAAAAGGAGTTTGTCACACTCTTAAAGGAAGAGATGAACACAGAAGCCTCAGAAAGCACTTGAGCCAGGATTGGTCAGGAAGTCTAAGTGGCTGGCATTATTGGGCTTTTCTCCTTGGGGCTCTCCTATTCAGTGACTGATCTATTGAAGAGTCAAGTCTTGGGGAGAGAACGTGCTGAGCTCAGCTGGTGTCACCTCCCCCTGCCCTTTGGTCTCCTGGTTAGGAGGCAGTGCCCTGAGGCCAGCAAGCTGTCAGACCTCCTGAAGTGGGTGCAGGGCCACTGCCTATCCAAGTGGAATAGGAAACAGCCCTTCAAAACGATGTTCACCAAGCCTTGTTAATGACATTGGAAAATGCATGTCTGTAACACCAGCAAGCGAGTTGGATAGACAACTGTATAGCTAGCAGTTTGCCTGGGCAAATGGGAAAGAGAACTACAGCAAGGAGATATGTATTACCAAGTGCTTGCCTCTGTGCAATGGCATTATGGGTGACCTTTAAACACTTTTCTGTGATGAGCATGTATTTTATAATCAGAAAATAGAAAAAAAAAAAAAAAAGCCCGAGAAAATGGCAATCATGAAGACAGAAACACAGGGAACTATTTAAGGCACAATAGTAAGTGAGGGGAGCTGAATTTCTAACTTCTGTGATTGCAGCTGTGTAAATAGGAATGTCCGTGGACACAGGCGGGATGGGAGTGTGCAACAACGGAAAAACGTGTGGTGGGAGTGGGCGGAAAGTGACTTTTCTTTTAAAAAGTTTTCCTTCATGTTTTTTTTAAAATTAATGTAAATAAATTTACGTTAGTTGGATAGTCTGCTGCATCCTCTCAAAAGCCTAACGATGGGGAAACTTCTGGAAGGAGTAAGGATGGTGCCTCTGGATCAGAGATTTTCTGTCGGGGGGGGATGATTATGGCCCCCAGGGGACATTTGGCACTCTCTGGGGACATTTTTGGTTGTCATGACGGGGGCGCTCCTGGCATCTTGTGGGTAGAGGCCAGGGATGCTGCTAAATGTCTTATAATGCATGGCACAGCCTCTCCCAGATACCCATCCCCAAACGCTAGTGGTGCTGAGGTTGAGAGGCCCTGCTCTGCAGAGGCACTCTTATACAAACATGTGATTCATCAACAAAAATCCCAACTGGTTCGTGTTGGTAGAAATGATTCCATACAGTTTGTTTGACCAGTCCCTGTAAAAGCGAGAGTAACAGACTTAGTCATTGTTTCCCAACTGAGGTGGCGCTTTGCAGGTAAGGGCCTTCGTGTCATAACCAGAGTCTCTCTTCTCTTTGTACCCATGCAGGCTCATCTTCTGAAAGCCAGTAGAAGACCTCTGCTTTCCTGGATCACGGCGTTTACAAGACGTTGTCAGTGAGACTTGGAGTTTGCACGGTTGTGATCCAGCCTTCTCCGTTTCTATACTTGAATGTGTTGGTGGAATTTTGGAGCTCTTTGTAGCTATCGTTTACTTGGAAATTTTGAGCCATTTTGAATTGTTTAAAGGAGTAGACGCTGCTAGCAATGAGCTCCCAAAGCCATCCAGGTAAGGCCTGGGTCCTTCATTCTCTGGCCAAACAGTCAGGCTTTCCTTTGCAGAAATACAATTACTTGTGACTATAGCTTGCTTACTGGATTTCAGATTTCTGTTTTTCTTGGTAATGGTCACTGTTGGTTTATGACAGTATCATGTGCAAAGTAGATTGTTTGTTCTTCATCTCAGTGAAAGAAGAACTCATAAAGACCTGCTAGGGATTTGGAGTAAAGTCTTTGGCTTTGATCTACATGCCGACTTGAGTGGCATGCAAGTTTCTTTGATGCCAGGAGTTGCTCTCTAGCAAGAGTGATGTTTAAAGGTCAGTTTGTGACTTGGAGGGTTAATTTCTTACCCAGTTTCTTTGTTTTTTATTGGGGGGTGATTTGAGGGATGGGAGTGCTTCTGTAACTGGACCTCTGTGCTGATTCTGGGAAGCAGCCCATGATTCGCACCCATAGGTGGTGACCTTGGTGATTGCTCCTGGTGTTTGAGTGCTTTTTATTAGGTGTTGGGCTAAGCATTTTACAAGCATTTAGTCTTCACAATAGCCCTAGATAATCTCGTACCTGGAGGGAAGAGGTAACTTGCCTAAGGTCACTGAGCTCACCAAGCTCCTAAGCAGTGGCTGAATGGGATTGGAAACCAAGAGTGTTGGGCTCTTAGCTTCAGAAGGGTGTTATGGACACATTTGTTTAGGACTTCACACCTTATATTCTTGGAAAGTCACAGTGCATGCACTGTAATAAAACCTGAAGAGTCCTGCCCCCAAACCTGAAGAACCCTCCCCCTGTCCTTCCAGAAAGGCATGGGCCTCCTACAGAACCACCACCGCCTGCTGCCCAGCCTCCTTCCACTTCCGACACCTTTAGGGGCACTTAGGTGTCAGTATCTGTCCTTCATACACCTGAGAATGGAGGTGGCAGCCAACCTGGACAAACGCTTGAGGTACCTGAGTCTTGAGTCTCGGTTAGCTGTGACTCTAGGCTTGGCTCTGCAGAGTGGAGGTGGAAGCTCGGGGTCTAGGGTCACTAGACCTTGAACATTCCCACACACCTTCCTTTGGGTGGGATGAGCTTTGTCTGAAACCTCCAGAGGGCAGGATTCCAAGTTGTATTTTGATATGAAAGTTTTATTGATTTAAATTGTTTATGTATTGATTGATGTAAGGAAATGGTTTATGATCACTGGAAGAAAAATTAAGTACTGTGGATCGAAGTGTTTAAAGCAGACATTGAGTGGTGCCCAGGACTTTCCCTCCTCCTCCTCAGCAGGCTGCCGCTGAGGTGGGAGTGTCATTTTCCTGTGTATACACATACAGTGTTAAGTGTGAACATTTGAAAAGAGTGTAATTCTGTATGTGGGGTTCTTTTTTCCACTTTAATGTATTATGAGCATCTTTTGATGTCAGTACATATATAAATCTAACATTCTTTTTGATAGCTTGTAAATAGATATTTATGTGATTGCATCACTATTTATAACAGCTCCAAGTTGGCATCAAACAACAATATGCACATTTTATACACATCTCTCAATATCTCCACTGGACAAATTCCAAGAAGTAGAAGTGGGTCAGTGGCCCTGTGCATTTGCAATACCTTTGGGTGATTGTCAGATTGCTCCAGAAGCCTTGTCTCTGCTGACCTTCCTCATTTCAGTTTATGGGGATACCTACTTTCCTTCATTTGTCCTGGGCCAGCACTGGGCAGATTGTTTCATTTTTGCCAGCCTGCTAGGGGAAATGATGGTGCAAGTTTACATTACTATTTAAGTGGGGGCGCACATTCCTGTACATGCTGGTGTAGCCGTAATCAAATCTTGAACATGCTAGCCTGGCATTTGAAAAGAAAGTGTGCTCTTACTGATATTTTTTGGTCTAAGTATGTCTACGTGTATACATCAATACTGTATTTAAAGTTCTGTCATTCATATGTATTTTATATGTGTGTATATATATATGAGTGTATTTAGGCTTTTTCTAAATGGTATTTTATCTGTATATAAGCGCATTTGAGTTATTTAAATCAGTTTAGCTGTACTCTTTTTTTTTTTTTTTTTTTTTTGCCTGGCAAAGTGAATTTTTCTCTTGTGATTATAAGATTGTAATACTTTTTCCATTATTAAGCATTTTTTTCCTTTACACATTTCGGGTTTTTTTTTAAATGCTTAAAAATTGAGTGTTCTTTAGGTAGACCCAGGTCTCTTATAAAAATACAATGTATTTCTTTTTGTTTAATGTTTATTCGCCCAAAAGTTTATTTTGTTTCATAAAAATATTTCTGCCCTTGGTTTCCTTTGGCTAGCAAATAGTTCTCCAACCACTTATCTTTAACCTTTCCAGACCGTTTTCTTTAAGGCTTATGTCTATAAACAGTGGGGAGCTGGATTTTGTCTTCTCTCCTCCTGAAAGTCTTTGCCTTTTGTTTGGTGAATCTCACCTGTTGATGTTTATTTTTACCACTGGCCTGTTCCAGCTGGGGCTGGCGCCTGTTCTGCCGCCTCGCGTCAGGTTGTATGAGCATTGCCCTCACCAGCCAACCCCCCCATTCTCTGTCCCTCTCGGGCTCTGAGGCCATGAAGACAGGGCCAAGCTGGCCCAGAGCGTATGAGGGCAGGGTGCCCTGCGGGCCTGAATCTCTCCCTTCTGTCTGCGTGGATCTCTGTTGTTTGCTGGGGCTTGAAGCTTGCTGGGCACTCTCGCTTCTCTCTCTAGCCCTCATGTCTCCGTGAGGGGTCTGCCCTTCCTCCCAGTCCTCTGCCCTGAGCTGCAGCAAGGTAGCCATACAGCCTAAGCTGCCACACATTACATGATGGCCCTGCAGTCCCAGCATGCTCCAGGCTGGGAGGCGGGCTGCCCTGGGGTCTGTGGGTGCTCTGCAAGGTACCACCTGGCCCAGGCACAGCTCTCACCAGTGACTGAGTTGTCGTCAGTATGCTCCCATCAGATTTATGGCTTCCAGGAAATCCCTCCAATCTTCTGGTTAGTTGAGGCACCTACTCGCCACTGTCAAGCCCTGCTATGAATCCTTTCACAACTTAATTTATATTTTGTCATGTGAGTGAATTTGGGGGAGGAAGAGAAACAATACTCAGTTATTCAATCTTCTCTCTTGAACGGGAAACTTCTAGATGCCTTTGGACAGAGCCGTGGAGCCGCTCTTTCCCTCCTTTACTCAAGCCAGGGAGACTAGTAGTGCTGCTGTCTTGGCATGTTAGGGACTCCACACACTGTCCATGTCCCCAGCTGCTCCTCGGCGACCTCCTCTCCACCTGCCCCGGTGGCCGGCACGGTGTGTTACGGCACTCCCTCCCTGGTGGGCCCCTCTCTCACATTTGCAGTGTGATTGAGCTGTGCCCTAATGATGAAGTGCCCTTTTTATCAGATGCATGCAATTCTTCTGCCCCTGTTTTGCTTTCAGACTCCCTCTGGTGCTGGGCGAGGTATGCGTTATGATTTTATTGCCCTTCTCTCTGAACTTCGCCAGAGCCAGGCCCTGCTTCTCTGACGTAAAAGCCACTGAACTGTTGGGATTTTATTGCTCTCAAGAACTATTTCTAACGATGTGAGCAGCCCAAGGAGAGGGCCTGGATTGATTTAGCCTCGAGGAACTCTTCTTTGAGAAGAGGTTCTGAGCTTCTCACCTAGCCCAGCGCTCCGAGCCTCTCCCTGCTGTGCTGTGCGAGTTGGGTCTGGGTGCATTTGCCCGGGCGCCACCTCTGCTCTGAAGGTGAGCCTCCGTGTGACACGAGGGGTGGGCAGTCACGCGGTGGGCCTGCTGGCAGGATGGGCAACGTCTCATGCCCCGGCCACTGCCCCAGCAGCTGGCTCTCCCCACCTTCCCTGGAGGTTAGAGTGTGCCTGGGATGCTGGTAGCTTGGCTGGCCAACAGGAAAACCGAACGTTGTCACTTGGCTGCTCATTTAACACTACCCTGTCCTTTCCATGCAATTTATCTTCCTTTCTCGGATGTCCCTGCCCCAAGAGTCTTGCTGAGAAACTTTCTAAATCTCAAGAAGCCCTGTGAAGGATGTGCTGGGACATGTTCGTGGTCACCCAAATTATGCTGTTGACAGAAAACTGGTTGAGCAGGGCCAGTATCAAGTAATTCGAGCACCCTATCTCTCCCTGAATCTTGGTGAGAGGCATGGATAGTGTTTAGTGAAAAGCAAAATAACTGTTTTGCAGGAACTTGTATAATTTAAGATGAGTGTTTAAATTCGGACCATTCTATGGTTTCTTAGTATTCTTTTCAGTCTGAAATTCTCCATCCATGAAAGCAGCTAAGAAGTCTGTGTTAACAATGACTTAGTGACTAGTGAGTTTAGGGTAATCTGATTTCTTCTCACCACCATAAAGTTGTAACTGCTGTAAAGTTGTAATCCCATAAGTCTCCCAGGAGAAGGCTCTCTGCCCGCAGGCTGGCCTCAGCAGGGAGTCTGGGGTTCCTGCAGTCTTCGTGCTCTGTTCTTCATGGATTTGTTCTTGTTTTATTTCACCCAGTTTGGCCATCAAGGTTATTATATTTTAATATGTGAATTATCTCATAAGCATTTTTATGGAATTTTAATTTTGCTCTGCTGTGGCTGACTGTTTCAGAAATATTGCAATTTTGAGGGGAGAAAATGAATTTTGTGGACCTGCCATTAATACAAAAACATCAATTCTGAGCTGTTTGGTGACTGGCAGCTGCAGACCCTGAGCAAGGCTTTGGGCTGCAGGAAGTGACTGGAGAGCTGGGAGCTTAGGGCAGCTTGGAGGAGGCCTGGCTGGGCTCTCAGGAGGGGGTGTGGGGGCACACACAGGTGCAGCTGGCCACAGGAGTCCTGGAGAGCTCAGGCAAGGGGGAGACAAGAGTGGGGAGCAGCTGGCTACAGCTGGAGAGGAGCCCCGTCAGGACCTTTTTGTGCAGGCACAGGAGAGGCCCAGGGAGGGGCAGGCCTGGGGACTCTGGGGAGGAAAGCAAGAGGGAGCCCCAGCCCCAGGCAGAGTACGTGGTTCCTTTGATACC